CTTTTCGTTCGTACGTCGTTCGTCGTACGTTCGGTTGTTAGTTACTTCTCTACTACTACTCTCGTCGTCTTCTCTCTCTCTCTCTCTCGTACGTACGTACCTCTCTCTCTCTCTCTCTCTCTCTCTCTCTCTCTCGCTCTCTCTCTCTCTCTCTCTCACACACACACAGAGCCACACAGTTTTAAGTTCATCCATTTAACATGATGGGATTTTGTCAGAGCCTTCACTGTATCTGGAAAGCTAAGGCCTGAAGAGGCTGTTCAGGCAACCCTGTCTTCTCTGCCAGATGAGGTTGTGGACACAGTAGGTGTGACTGCCTTGCCAAGTGAAGATTCCATCTCGGAGCGTAAGAGAAAACTGGAATTCCTTGAAATGCAAGAAGAACTTATCAAGGTTAGTTCAAAACTTCAGATATGACCAGCTACTCATATTGTTGATGCTTCGATCTTTTCTGTCTTTATTAATTTGACTGACATGCTTATTGTGGAGTTTAAGAATTCTTAATGAAATCTGTATTTTTGAACTATAGGTCCATGACTGAATGAAATCTAACTATGGAGAACAATTGAATTCATCGTTACCAAAATAGCTGGTCGCTTACTATATCTGAATATTTTTTTTTTTTAAGATGACATATGTCAGCATAATATTCCCTTTTCTCTTTCTGGATCAATGACCTACTAGTGCTTGGAAGAGAGGAACCATTATTTTTTGTATTTATTTAGCTTGTAAGAGATGATTTAAAAATGAATTGTTGGGAATTTATTTGATATAGAGCCCTCATGAGTCATGACAATAAATGATTTAAATCACTTGTGACTAAAACAATGAAACTCCTTAATGTCACCCCCACCCTCCCCTCCCCATGGACCCAAAAAAAAGAACTCTTTAATTTTTATTATCAAATGCCCGATCTACTACCTTACTTTACAAGAAACTTTTGAAATTTGTGGTATTTGAAAATAACAAAGTGCAAAGGTTAAAATTAAAATATATATGTATGCATATATATACGTACGTATGTATATATTACACACTTACTTTACAAGAAACTTTTGAAATTTGTGGTATTTGAAAAGAACAAAGTAGAAAGGTTTAAATTAAAATATATATATATATATATATGCACATGTACTTACGTACGTATGTTTGTATGTATTACACGCACTTTTTCGGCATGTGCAGCGACCTTTCATCTTTTGCTTTCTCATCCAAATTGCTGTCTTGAATTCTTCTAGTGACCTACCACTCTCTGTTTTGTTGTACCTGATACTAAGTCTTCCAATCTTTCCTCTCATCCCATCCCTTTTTATTCTCTCTCCTTTTCTCATTATCCTGATCTCTTTAAAATAGTATTCTGGTACTTGAAACCTATGAAATTGAAGCACTGATAGAAATCATTTATAGGAGGAGGAAGAGAAAGAGGAAGAGGAGCAAGCAAGGAAGAAGGAAGCTGGAATCAGTCAAGAAGATGTAGCTTTGAAAGAGATGATTATACCCACTGCAAGAGAAGCTCAAGAGCTGGCAAGAGAAAAGACATTGGAGAAACAAGAGCAGCTATGTAAGCTTAGCCGTGCTTTGGCTGTTCTGGCTTCTGCATCTGTAAGTGATAGAGCATACTATTTTACCATTTTGTAAGTGATAGAGCATACTATTTTACCATTTTGTTTACATGTTTGATATTCTATTAGACTTTGAAGCTTTCTCTAAAATGTTGTCCTTCAGCTAATGTTTACATGCCCTGCACTTTTTGCAGTCAGTTAGTAGGGAACGCGAAGAATTTTTACGCCTTGTAAACAAAGAGGTATTTCCTAACTTCCATTTTTTTTCACTGAAAAAAGATAACATCAAATATATTTGTTTGTTCTTCATGTGATAGCTTATGACATGAAAGGACATGTTTAAAATGAGATGCATGTGATATCTCATTCACACTTCACTTTTAAGCGCACCTGCACTGTGTGAATGGTTTTCTGCACTTTCTGCCATTAGTGCATCTAATTCTTTCTGTCTTCATGTTGCTAACTTATAGCTAGATTGTTGCTTAAATCACTTCAATTGGTAAAGATGGAGCTTTCTCTGTGCTGTGGATGTATCCATCTTACTCACGCACCATCCCTTTCTATTTAAAAGTCAAAAGTTTATGGCTTGTCGAAGGATAATTTTCATCTTAAGAAGAATAACTTTGCTGAGGGTAATATAGCTTCATATTTCCTACTGTTTTTCTATATCCTTATCTGAGCAGTCGTCCTTTCTTATATTCCATGTGTTATTTCCTATTACATTGTTTAAATCATAGAACACGGAGATTTCGATTTGGGTTGTGGTGAATTCTTCAAATTCCCTTTTGAGGGTTTTGCTTTTCCATTTGTGGCTTTTACTTCAGCATGTTAAAGTTATCTGCTGATTCTCAGTGCAGTTGCCTTTTTACTCGAGGGGTATCCAAATGCCAAATAATTTATATTCCTTTGTTTCAATTTTTCAGGTTCTCATTATATGTTCTATGCTAACATTGCGGCTTTCTTTGCATCATTGCATAGAAAATAATGTTTCACAAATCAGATTGACATGGTTGGTCATTTCAGATTGAACTTTATAATAGTATGGTGGAGAGAGAAGGAGAAGAAGGTGCAGAACAAGCTAAGAAGGCATATCAAGCGGCAAGAGAGGAGACTGATCATGCAACTGAAGTAGATGACAAGGTTTCCTCAGCACTCATAAACAGGGTAAGTATTGGATAACCATTTCCTGTCCCCTTGGCGATACTTTTTTTCATTATCTTCGTGTTGTGTATGTCTGAAAGATCACATTTACTATGTTATGTGTTTTTGCCGTAGACTTGACATGGGTGTCTTTGTACTGGAAGACCAATTTTGTATGCAGTCATCTAGTTGGCTAGAGTTACAGCTAACTTGGTTTAGTACATCAAATTGTACTTCAATTCCTCCTGCCAACTTATTGCTCGTCAATTGTTAGGTATATTGGGAGGTGTATTTCTTGTATAGACTCCTTTATTCTGATGAATGGTATTTAAAATTTTGGAAAAGTGTGTCAAGGAAGTTCAACCGAGATGGCAATGCAATGAAAATCTCATAAAAAATCAGCATAATGGGGGGAAGTTTTTTATTTTTATAAGTTTGTATTTTTATAAGTAATTGTGAAAACGGTTCGCTGTGTCACTTTCCTTCTGTGTCAATCGAGCACTACAAGAATTACTTCCATCTCTAAAATCTTCAGTAGCGTTATCAAGAATTGATGGACGATTCTGCATTGGTGTTCAAGTGCTAGGTCTGCATCAATTTGAGTATGTCAAATGAATAATTCAAATGNTAAAAATTATATATATATATATATATATATATATATATATATATAG